ATTTACAATAGCCAAAACATGGAAACAGCCTAAATGTCCATCAACAGGTGACTGGATAAAGAAGAAGTGGTATATTTATACAATGGAATACTACTCAGCCATGAAAACTGACAACATAATGCCATTTGCAGCAACATGGATGATCCTAGAGAATGTCATTCTAAGTGAAGTAAGCCAGAAAGAGAAAGAAAAATACCATATGAGATCGCTCATACGTGGAATCTAAAAAACAAAAACAAAAACAAACAAACAAACAAAAACAAAGCATAAATACAGGACAGAAATAGACTCACAGACAGAGAATACAGACTTGTGGTTACCGGGGGCGGGGGTGGAGGGTGGGAAGGGATAGACTGGGATTTAAAAATTGTAGAATAGATAAACAAGATTACACTGTATAGTACAGGGAAATATACACAAAATGTTATGATAAATCACAGAGAAAAAAATGTGACGAGTGTGTATATGTCCATGAATGACTGAAAAATTGTGCTGAACACTGGAATTAAACACAACATTGTAAAATGATTATAAATCAATAAAAATGTTAAAAAAAATTGTTTGTTTTTATTGCTAAGCAGCAACCAACAGTATGTATGTACCACAGATTGTTTATCCATTAACCTGCTGATGGGCATTTAGATGTTTCCAAATGGGTACTACTACAAATAAAGCTTCTATAAACATTTATGTACAAATCTTTGTGTGGAAGTTTGCTTTCATTTCTCTTGGATAAACATATAGGAGTGGAATGGATGGATTACATTAGAAGTACTTATTTAATTTTTTAAGAAGCTACCAAATTTCCAAAGTGTATAAGAGGTTCATTTCCGAAATATTCCTTGCAACACTTGGTATGTTCAGTCTTTGTCATTTATCATTCAAATAGGTATGTAGCTGTATCTCTTTGTGGTTTTAATTTGCATTTCCCTAAGGTGTTAGGCATCATCTCATGTGCTCATTTGCCATCCTTATATCTTCTGTGGTGAAATGTCTGTTCAAATCTTTTACCCATTGAGTTGTTGGGTTTTTTCCTTATTACTGATTTTTAAGAGTTATTTACATATTCAGAATAAAGTCCTTTTTTAGATACTTGATTTGCAAATATTTTCTCTCAGACTGTGTAGTTTTTTTTCATTCTGTTAACAGTGACGTTTTAAGAGCAGAAGTTTTAATTTTCAGAAGTTCAATTCATCCATATTTTATCTTTATGGATCAGTACTGTATCTTCGTTTTGTTTTTGTTTTTGTTTTTGTTTTGAGGGTCTTTTTTTTTTGCCTTACTCAATTCTTAATGATTTTCTCCTATGTTTTCAACTAGAAGACTTACAGTTTTAGATTTCATATTTAGGTCTATGAAACACTTTGATTTAAGTTTTTATTTATGATACAAAGTCATAAATCAAAGTTCATTTTACTTTTCCAGATATCTATTTTTCCAGCACCATTTGTTGAAAAGACTATCCTTTCTCTACAGAAATGCCTCTGTAGCTTTCTTGAAAATTAATTGGCCATATATATGTGTCTATTTCTTAACTCTTTATTCTGTTCCATGATCTACTTGTCTAGCCTAATGACATTATTACACTCTTTTGATGACTGAAGCTTTATAATGTCTTTAGGTCAGGTACTACTGATTCTCCAACTTTGTTCTCTATTTTTTTTAAGTTGTTTTGGCTATTTAAGGTCTCTGGAGTTTTCACTTGAATTTCAGAATCAACTTACTGATTTCCACAAAAAAAAAAATGCCCACTGAGATTTTTATTGTGATTCCATTGACTGAAAGTTAATTTGAGAACTGCCATCTAAATAATATTGAGTCTTCTGATTCATAAACAACATACATCTCTCAATTTATTTAGGTTTACTTAATTTTCTCAACAACATTTTTTGTTCTTAGTGTCTTTCACAATTTTGGGGCAGATTTATCTCTGTTTCATAATGTAGTGCTATTGTAAGTGGCATAGTTTTTTAAATTTTAATTGCTAATGCTTGCTACTATGTCAAAGTAAAATTGATTTCTGTAAATTTATCTTGTGTCCTTCAACCTGCTAAACTCACATACTAGTTCTAATTGATTTTTTGTCAAATTTTCTATGTAGGTATTCATGATATCTGCAAATACAGTTTGCTTTCTTTCTTTCCAATCTAGATAACTTTTATTTCTGTTTCTTGTTTTATTTTATTTTATTCAAGATGAAGATCTAGTACAATGAATAAACTGGTGGTGGTGAGAGAGAACATCTTTGTCTGTATTTTTAATTCTAATTTTAATTTTAATTTTTAGAGGAGGGGGCATTTTGGAAGCCTTGAAACCAACTAAAATCTCTGCCTGTGTTGGCTGATTCTTAGCATTGATTATTTAAGTTCAGAGACAGAATTTAGGGAAGACTGGATTCTCTGCAGCTCCCTTAGGCAAGTCTAGGCAAGGATGGGTTACACCACCTGGGGTCCTTGTACAGCTAAAATTTATGTACTTATTATAATCCAGCCAAAAAGCTGAGGGCCACAGACATGGGTTGGATGGGACATGGGTTCAGGTGAGCACTTTGAACACATTCCTATGACCTATCACGCCATGGTGAGGTTTGGATTCTTTCAGGCCTAAGCAAATGTGTGAAGTCTGTCTTATGGGTAAGGTTTTCTTACTCCTAAAAATTTCTTCCTTTTAGCTTTGGGATACTTACACATCTTGAAAACTGTCTTTTCTCAGCCAATCTCATGAAGAGATTTAATCTACTCCTTCCTCTCCAGCTCACTCTGCAACATAATATAGACTTGTTTGAAAGGAGGTTGTCCCCTCCTCACTCCCAACCATGCTCCATCCACAGTGCAGGACACAGCCCTCACCTGCAAGTTGAGATCTAGCCCAGCTCTGGGACCAAGCCTGGCCTAAAAAAAACAAGAAACATTCCCAGTCCAGTCCCAGAAGACTCAGCCTCAGGTCATACTCATGGTACCATTGCTCTGACCTGGAATCCTTGCTTCATTCTTTGCATTGGGATCTCAGTCTTATTAACCTCTAGGATACTCTTGACTTATAACTGCCACATGTCTAGGAGTTGGAGTGAGAGGAAATGGGAATACCAACGGAGCTCAAGGCGTGAAAACCCATCCCCAGTAGAGAAGGTAGAAAAAGAGAGAAAGAAAAGGAAACTGGTATCTCTTTAGTATTGACTATCATGCTGGCTACAGAAGATCCCCAGAGTCCTACTGCATAAGTTCCAATCCTGGCTCCACTAAGTAGTATCAACTCAACCATGAGCAACTTATTCAACCTCTCTTAGCCACAGAGTCTTCATCTGTAAAATGGGGACACTAATAGTTTTGAGTATTAACTGAAATTATTATGGAAAGTGTTTAGCAGAAATTTTTGCACAGAGTTAGTATCTAATGTACCTTAACTATTGTTGTTATCACCATCTTCATCATTATTGCATCCACAAAACTTGCCCACCCCATCCTAGTTGCTTGGTCTTCGTTGTCTCCTAAGGCCTCACAGCCCTGTGAGGCAGGGGTCACAACAGTACATCTTCCTCAGTACATCAGGCCTCATCTGGTTGCAGGCTGCAGTCAGCAGAAGGTGCATCTCTGCCTGCAGAGTGAGACTGAAAAAGAAGAGACAGCCCAGAAGCTAAAGCCTGCTCAAGGAGCCTTAAGAAATAGCCAAGGGGTTATCTGAGAGGAGAGATTATGGCAAAAGCCAAAATCTGGGGGAGGCAGATCAGAGCTGGAGAGATGGGCCAGGTTGTGTAAAAGTGCATCCCAGGGCAAAGCAGGGTACCACACTGAAGCTGGGCTCCATCCCTCCTTGACTCCACACCTGATAACCTGCTTGGTGCCTCAAGTCATTAAGCAAAAGTCCTGGCTGCACCTCACCCTCTGTGTTGTGTGCTCCCAGTGCTGTTATCCAGCCCCTTTTCCTTCTTGGTTTGAGTGCCCCATGCAACCGCCTACCCGATATCTCCTCATTCAACAGTCCCATGTTAAAGCCATATGAGTCAAGCCCTGAGCTAGACCTGGTGGGGGGTGGGATGCAAAAATTAAAAATAAGCAAAAAAATACAAGCAGCACTTTTGTGGAGCTCAGAGTCTAGTGAAGGAGACAGACAATACAAGTAAAATTATGAAACACTGGGATTACCTCCATAGGAAAGGAATGTACAAAGTCCTATGAAATTAATAATAGCATCACAATTCTACTTGGGTGAGTTTAAAATGAGACCTTTAACTACATTCCTACTAGACAGTGAGCTCTTTAGGGAGAGGGGACATTTAAGAGTGAGCAGGTCCTGGCTCCATTTATTTCTGAATCCTCCATAGCTAACTTGGGACCTGGCACAGAGCCACAGTTCAAGATGGATTTGAAACTGACCTTGACTTACCATTTTCTCCATTCTTATCTGTTCTATTTGCTGCTGCCAGATTATTTCCCAAAGTATAGAGCAAATACCATGCAATTCTCCCTTGGTAAGCTTTCAACAGCATCTCCAGAATTAAGAGCATTTTCCTCAGCCCTGTGGCTCACCGGTGTTTTTGGAGGCCAGCAACAGAAAACAACTGTGACTCATGAAAGCAAAAATGTCTTGTATTAGAAAGACATGAAAGCTCGGAGAATAGAGAAAGAAGTCGAAGGGCAGACTTCCAAGTGGACGGGATTCAGTATGGTTCCAGGATCCGGAAAGCTTGAACTGGTGCCCTGGGGTTCACAGTGTGGCCACTGGGGTGAATGAAAGCCCAGTGACGCGGGCATCGGAAGTTCCAGGGGGAGAACTCTGACTTGGCCGGAGTGGGTGACCTCGTCCTTCGTTGGTCTGCAGAGATGGGGTGGGTCAGGACCGCTTGAACGCCAGTCCCCCTAGAAAGCTACCCAATGGGGAGAGAGAGACAACTGTCAAAGCACAACTGGCGAGTTGGTGCCAGAAGGAAAAGCAGGGGGCCAGGCAGGCAAAAACAAAAGCAAGTCAAAATCAAAATGAACCACGGAGACAAATGAAAAAGAAATCACTTCTGATCACTAAAGCAGTCAGAAATTTCCCAAAGTAGGTACAATTTTGACTTTTTCAGACACCTCTCTCACATACCCTATGTTCCCATCAAGCAGG